AAGAACCAAAGTACAAATACCAAAGGTTGTTCTGTGGATCATTTTCTGAGTGAGTGTGAACTTTTTGACAAGTAAATCAATCATTTTAGGAGGGATTGTAATCAACATTATTGACTCAAGACATGGCAAGTGTGCGCTTGAATGGATGGTATATAGAGGGTAGCATTATACAGATGACATTGTATATAATACCAGCAATGTTTCATGACATTTTGCAATTTTCAGCATTCAGTGTTTGGAAGCATGATGAAATATCTCATCAGACTAATGGGGGCTTTTGGCGAAGTGCTAAACATGGGGGACCTGGATCACCTCTAGCTTTCCACCCACATGCAGCTGACACACCATGATATAACTGGATAAATGTTAAACCAATCTCACTCACTCACCCTAAAGGGCTTTGTCAAAATAATTCCAATTCGTCTCTGTTTGAGGAATGGTGTTCTGTCCAGTGGTGTTGAAGGCCTTTGTTCTCAACTGTGGGGATGGTAGGGTAGTCTAGTGGTTAAGGTGTTGGCTTGTCAGACTGATGGCTTGGTTCGATTCCTCAAATGGGTACAATGCATGAAGCCTATTTCTGATGTGCCCCACTGTAATATTGCTGGAATATTGCTTAAAACCAAACTTCACCCCTTAATTGTCGACTCGGTATTCATGCTTCACTGCGGCATGGTATCTCAGTGGGCTAGCACTATAAAACCAGCTTCAGTCTGGGTTAGTACAAGCAGCCGCACATACACATACACACATGCACGTTGTCATATGAGCGAAATATTCTCAAGCATGATGTTTAACCCAATTTCACCTCACCTCACCTTAATTGTCGACAATAGACAGTGACTTGGGTGTGAAGTGTCTGTGATTCATGTTTACCTCTGATATTTTCAAATGATAAGAGTGAGTGAGTGAGTTTAGTTTTACGCCACACTCAGCAATATTCCAGCTATATGGTAGCAATCTGTAAATAATCGAGCCTGGGCCAGACAGTCAAGTGATCAAGAGCATGAGCATAGATCTACGCAATTGGGATACAATGACATGTGTCAACCAAGTCAGCGAGCGTGACCACCCAATCCTGTTAGTCGCCTCGTACAACAAGCATGGGTTACTGAAGGTTAATTCTAACCCGGATCTTCACGGGTCTCTAATGATAAGAGGTTAGTGAGATAGCCTAGTGGCCATGTGCTTGTCGTACCATTGGTCCGGGTTTACTTACACACGTGATTACATCATGTAAAGCCCATTTCTTGTGTCCCCAGATGTGATATGGCTTGAATATTACTAAAAAGGCATTAAACTACGTACTTTTCCATTTAGCCAACACTCTGTGAAGTAACAGAAATACTGTTATGGTATTATTCCAAAAACCCTCTCAAATAAGACCACTAATTGGCTTTAACACCCTGGATTTATGTGGGATCGTCCATAGCTATCTGGCTCTCTAACTCATGTCATCAAGATCGTTGTTTAAGGAGCAGTGTTTTGAGATATACAACCAGCTGCAATTGTTACATGCAGAGTATCACTATCTTGTAAATGCTCTATTTCTGTAGTATGAACATGTGTAGATTCCGATTGTTTTGACAGGAGGTGAAGGTCAAGGCCACATATTTGATAGGTTAAGACTCCGTGTTGTGTTTAACCAAGGATCATGCCGCTGTGGATTTGTCAACAAGGTGGATTAATGTATAAATATTTCTGTATTCAAACCTTGAGCTTTGTATGGCAAAAATTGTATGAAAATATAAACTTAGATGTGAAGATTGTGGCTCGGGTTTGGTTTGAGGGAAGTGTCTACTGTGGAACATGTTAAAATGTGGATTGTTGTGATGGACATTTTTAACTTTTCTGAAATATGATTCTCTACAGCAGCCTCTCCCTCAACTCTTGTTTGACAACAGGGGTTCAAAAAAAAATTTAAAAGCAACTTGCCACAGGGCAAGTGACTATAAGAAAGTAACGTGTCCTGACTAATTTTCCACTTGCCCTGACTAATTTTCCACTTGCCCTGATTTTATGACATAATTATGATGATGTAATTATGAAAGAAGAAATCAACATGGTATTTGATGTTAATGTTTACTGGACTATTTATTGAAAAGTGATAAATAGCAAAGAAAGATAACTCTACTTTATCATCATTTGCGAAATTTAATAGCTACATTTTGAGCAGATATGAAATTGAATAAAAGTTTACTTGCAGTTTGAAACCATAAGTGGAAATTATCTAGTAGCCCACGGACAAGTAAGATACCACTATTTGATTGCCCGAAATGAAAACTGACTTGTCCCGGGCGTCGGGCGATGGGATTTTTGAACCCCTGGACAATAGCAACAAATAAAGTGTGATAAAATGTGTTTCAACATCAAGGGTTGAAAAGAATGCAATATTACCCAGATTTACCATCCCAAATATTTATCATATTTGTTTAAACATTTTCATACTACCTTATATTAAAAAATCAACATCACTTGATGGCCTTTGAGTAAGGCTGCTATTGTTGATTAGATCTGTTTTAATATTAGGATTGTGATACCTTGACTTTATTTGGTTTTATTTGTAACAAAAATAACACAATAAGTGAGTTATCAAGTTCAAAATAAGACATGATGCCCATTGCCAGATTTTAGAAACAATATTTAAAAAAGGTATGATACTATATGGATAGCAACTTCTTTGTTATATTGTGATGCAACATTTTGGTATAGATTCTTATACCTTCATCAACTTCTAAAATACCAATCAAACTGAATAAATCATTATTTAGTTTAAGGGGACCTTAAAATCCAACAGCAAGACTCTTGGATCCCCTTGGATCTATGACAGTGGTAAATAATACAGTGAGTGAGTGAGTGAGTTTAGTTTTACGCCGCTTTTAGCAATATTCCAGCAATATCACGGCGGGGGACACCAGAAATGGGCTTAACACATTGTACCCATGTGGGGAATCGAACCCGGGTCTTCGCCGTGACGAGCCAACGCTTTAACCACTAGGCTACCCCACCGCCCGGTAAATAATACAGATATTGATTGTTACTATAACAAAGTTTGGTACTACTCAAAGTTTGAGAGGGATTATCAGATATGTTTATTTAAATGAAAAACATTTGACATGGTGATCATTTTGGTGTATTACATTCAAAAGTGGAGTGATATATTATCATAATGAACGAAATCATCAAAAGGTTTCAAAACAAACATGTTTCATGCATGTTTCCGTGTGTATTGAATCATGTGATCGGGCAACTAAATTTGCCAGCAGCTTATGCTGAGAGGACTTTAATGGCGGCCTTGACCTTCCTTAGGTCAAGCTGACTCCTACAGGAAGATATATAGATTTGTTGATTGACAGTTTATTTAGAGTTATTCAGTTTATGTCTTGAGGAAATGTGTGGAAGGATTAGAGAGATGTATAGATAATAAATGTGGGTTATCCTTAAAGATAATGTCTAATATGGAAATAAAGGATTATCTGCAATGACTGTTATTCATGGCAGACAAGCACAGGTGTGTTATTTGAATGCAGGAGACAGGTGTATCGAAGGATTAACACACAGTAGTAATGGTGGCTCTCAGTGCACATGAAAAGTGTTTTAATGTGGCCTGGGTTGTGTGAATCTCAAACAAGTGTATTCTGTCATATACTGAAAAAAAGTTGATCATCATTAAATAGTTACATTATACCATACATATTCTTAGACACTAAGTCTTCATTCATAAAATTTTCATGATCCTAAATTTATTTCTTTTGGTATATATATCCTGGTGTCAGGGGTTTTCGACGATGTAAGACAAAAACGTAATTTTATCTGTAATATCATTTAAAGTTTTTATTTTACTAACCTCGAGTGATAAAGGATATATTCATCTATTTCACACAAAAATATCAAGTGTTTCCTACAGAAATAGCATTGATGACATCGTATCGGCTAAACAGTGGCCGCTCGTAACATCCGGGTATTTTGTATGGGTTTTCGACGATGAGCCATACTTTTTGCTTTGCACTGCGAGGGAGTGTTGTGATCACGTGGCTTCCTATTTATATATTGCCTGTCACCAGCAGACGACTGATCTTACTGAATTTTCGCTTGCTATTTTTTGTTATAAAGGCAACTGATTTTGCATCTGAAGTGGTATTAACGATCTCGGGTAAATAATATTGATGTTTGTTTGCTTTTGAATAACTTTACTTCCCGATTTCCATTGTCAATAAAACTTCTCACGACAGCGACTGGGCACCCGCCCTACCAGTGAAACCGTTTGTGCACTCGATCGCACACGTTCTCACCCGATATAGCGCGAGCAATCCAATCGTCGAAATCACCAGAACGTCGAATTCAGCTCGTGTTGGGATATTAACATGAGTTGGTCAAAATAGCACATATTATTTACAGACAGCCGCCATATAGCTGGAATATTGCTGAGTGCGGCGTTAAACAACAACCAAACCAAATCAAACCTATATCTAGTTTATAATATGCATTTCGACTAAAGCATACAGCAAGTTGTCATTTGTCAATTTTTTATAAGTATGTTCAGAACTCAGTCCATCTAAATGCCTCATGATATAACTCATACAATTGTAATAAATTTGTTTGTGACTGTATTAGAAAATATTGACATTGGTGGTATTGCGATACGACCGTATTCCAATATACCAGTCGTATTGCACTCCCCTTAATGCAATACAAGTTAAACAGGCTATAATCGATCCTTGCATTGAGTACATATTCCATGTTTGCCTGATATCTGCATAGCCATCATGTTTTGACACTTCTACAGATTACATGTCATATGGCTAAAAGGATTGATTTTCCCAAACCTGTATCTCATGCTGTAATGTGTTTGTAGGAATGCCCATGGCAGGAAATATGGCAGATCTGGTTTTCTGAAAGTGACAGTTCCCTGAAATGTAATGTTATACCCTGTTTTGATTGGTGTGTAAATTCGCACATAGATTTCATTCAGCATCAATTTAATTTGGTGTTTTTCTTTGCAGCCATTCAATCTTTGGACTCACTGAATGACCAGATCGTGCAATACATCTTCGCACAGAATAATGTCGACCTTGACCTTGAAAAGGACCTGTCGCCACGGGAACGAGAAACACTCAAATCCTCCATGGTTTTGATCCGTGGACTGCTTATAGATGCTCAGTCAAAATTTCGGAAAATGGTTGATGATAATCGGCAACTTGCAGTGAAGATTGACGGATCAATCCAAGCAGCCAATCAGGAAGTGAACGTACTACGCGCAGAGCTGGCGGATACCAACAAGAGGCTGTCACAGATCACGCTCACCAACGATCTCAAGGTGGAGAAGGCAACGCAATCAGAGAGTGACAGTAAGTATGATCACGTGTGACAAATCCGGGGCTTTATACTGACAGAATGATCCTGTAACCGAAAGATGCTGGGATGATACTGGATCTGGAATCAGTGCCAGAAGGGTGCAGGACATATATTAAAACCGCTATAAAGCTGTTAGCATCATATTGTCGTATACATTTTATGTGGAAAATTTTATTAAAAACTTACCTCATCTTCCAGGGACTCCCTAGTTCCATATGCATGAAAGCTGCCTTAGTCTGAAAAAGGGAAATCTGTCAATATTTCAAACTAAACTGTCTGATGTCATCATTTCCAATTTAAAGGAGGGTTGTGATGAGTTGTGCATTCTTGACAATAAGGACATTGGGCAAAAACACTTCATTATCTCAGTAATAACTTAAGGCCCTCAAGATTACTGAATCTATAGTGATATTGAATTTAGTCAGTAGTTGAGGAGATTAAACCATGGTGCAGAATGTTTCACTGTACTATCATGTCAAGATGAAGAAATACTATTTGATGAAATGAAGACTAGGCTGGTGGTCAAATTGTTGATTTGTTGTGACAATGTCCATAAGACCCTGGTACTATTCCGAGCTTGGTCGCGATGAGAAAGAATATCACTTCATCAATTTCTTAGGAAAACATTATTTGTGAATGAATTTCTGTGTAAATTTAGGTAAAACGCATAAAATGACAACACATTTGGTTGTATTTTGTTGTTGTGAGTCCAGCAGAAAACAGAAAATATTGTACCATATTCCACCATGCACCATGGTATACCACCATGCAGTCCTAGTTACCAACTCACTACCAACCTCAAATGATTGATGTTTCTAAAACCACAAACCACTTCTGACAAGTTAGCCACCGTGAATAACTACATGTGTATCTGTCATCCTAGACTGCCTACGGCACAAGTCCGACGAGGAGAATGAGTTGACAAAGATGAAGGAAGAGAACCTCCGCCTGGAGGCCTCGGTCAAGTCGCTCACACGTGAGGTCCAGGAACTGAAGCTGGCCAAGGCTGTCAGCAGTGATCAACCAAGCTATGGGGAACTCAAGTTGGAGCTCATTCAGACTCGCCAGGAAGTCAACAGGGCCAAGGAAGCACTTCAAGGTGAGTTGTCTCCCCTTTGAAATGAAAGTTGTCTCCCTTTGTTTACACAACTGATATTTCAGCAGGGTCATGGAAGAAGTTCAAGATGGGTTGTCTCCCCTTTGATATGAAAGTTGTGTAAACAGACATCAACAGGGCCAACGATGTTGTTCATGATGATTTGTCTCGCGTTGTTCATGCATTTGACCCAAAAGTTTGTATAATACTTTAATACTGTCATATAAAGCTTTTGTAGTGCTCACGGTTAAGTTGTCTCCCCTTTGAAACATAGGTTACGTCCTTTAGATTTACACACTTAATGAGTCAACAGGGTTTTGGAGGTTAGTACTTCCCACTTTTACACTTACACGATGAAAGAATCAAGTGACTACATAACATGATTTCATATTTACACAATGGAAGAAGTCATTGCCTAAATAACATGGACAATGTGTCAGCCATGAGCAAGTGGAACAAAATATGACTGTGCATTTTTGTAAACACTTACATTGAATCCTTTATGATAATTGTCTCAGAGCTTACAGCCATCAATGAAGACCAGTTAAGGAATCTGTTTTCAGTCACCTCCTACCAACAGAGGCAGATATGGTCAACCCAATTGCTTCCAGACATTTTACAATCTTACAATCTCTCCCAGAGTAGACTGAACCGAATTTCTCTCCCTTTATTACCTGACTTTAACTTCCTCTGTCTCGTCCTTCTGAAAGATACAAAAAACATCTTCCATTTCCTACTAATAGACTGGATTCCCAGGAGAGACGGAGTTGTGGCCCTTGTAAGGTGATCTTGGACCACAGATGGGGCTGTGTGTTGAAGGTTGTTTTATTTCACCTCAGAAAATGTCAGCACATGAGCCAACAGATTCTATCTGTTGTAAATAAACATCAGATTCCTCTTCCAGGACAGACATTCAATTTGCCTCATCTGTGGAAATACTCACCAGGTCAATGGCTGAGAATAAATTTGTGCAACTTGGGTCTCATCTTGTATATGAGGTGTCAATATACTGGCTATATATGTTATTCCATAGTAGAGGGTGTATATGTACATCGTATTCCCTAGTAGGGTTGTACGTATGTAACATCCCTTGTTGCAAGGTGTATATAGCTCATTCTCTGTAATAAGATGTACCTGATATTCCCTATTAGATGGCACATATATGGTCTGAAACTGTATGAAACTGACACAACTCATTTCAAAAGAAAATAATTGAATAAAAGCAGCAAATATATCAGAAACGTATATGGTCTAACAATTAGCTCATTTTTATTGCATAAAGATCTCAACTTTCTGCACTGATAAATATTTCTTTTTGAATTCCACGAAATAATTTCCTTTCAGTGTTTCCTGTTCCCTTCTAACTCAATAAACGTGACAAAAAGTAACAGTGATTACTGCAGTGCCGCTTTCCATTATTCACCAATAAGATATTCCGGTGGTAAACATGTGTACTAAACAGTGCCAGAGAGCTGCCTGGTATGTGGCTGACTGAAATAACACACTTTCTGAAGACAGGTTGTTCCAAGTTCTTGCAGATATCTGCTCTGCACATGGAGCTGCTGCTTTGCTGATTAAGGGAGACAGAGTTATGTCCCTTTGTTTCCTACTGCTTCCCATCTTTGATGAGGAATCTCAATAGGGGTTTCTTGTTTTTAAGTTGACGTTTGTAATGTTTGTTGTGCCACTGCTATAAATGCTGTTTACTGACTGGTGATTTAACACCACAGGTGTTTCTGAGAGGTTATTACACTACCATTCGAAAAGGAAAGGGAGATAAGCAAAAGATCATGAGTCAGGATACTGTATAAAAATATCAATTTTACTTGAAAAATTACATTTTTATCACATCTGTAAATATTGTCCTGTAGTCCTGATGTCATCTGTGTTTTTATTATTTACAATTTCGTCTAACTCCATGATTCTTCCGGCATGAGCAGCCAAAACATCGTCACCAAGGTTAGAACTCATACTTACACCATTTCCTGATGGACAGCAACTCGAGCAGACGACGCAAGGGATGTAACTCTAAAATAAACTAGGCACCATCTATTGAAGTTTCGAGTGTTTGCATGTATTTATTCCGTACCAGTTTAGTATCCAGGCAGTACGGCTGATATGGATTTTCGACCCAAGGACTGATATGCATTTTCGCCCCGGGTGGTGAATATGGACATATGCCAACAGCCAGTATTGTATGTGCAAATTGTCCATATTATTCATAGGTATATGATAATAGCTGTTATACAGTGGCAGGCATATCGTGTTTCAGTGACAAGGTTATTGACACATGTTACTGTCATGTTTCAGCGATGAAGGCAGACCGGAAGAGGCTGAAGGGGGAGAAGCTTGACCTGCTGAATCAGATGAAACAGCTGTACACAACGCTGGAGGACAAGGAGTCCGAGTTGAGGGACTTCATCCGCAACTATGAGCAGCGCGTCCACGAGAGTGATCAGACCATCAAACAGGTGGGGCAGCCATCTCCTCTTAGTGGACAAATAGTTTACTTTATATGTCGACAATTGTCATATTCATTTTGATTTAAAAACAATAAAATAACTCATTTGAGGATCCAAGTTGATGCCTCAGGGTCTCACATCACAACCGACTACTCTTTAGGACACGAATTGTTGTAGTTCATGAATGCTAAGAAGAAATTTTGCAGTGATGCAAAATAATTTGGAATGAGTACATGTAAGGATTTTTTGTATCAAAATCAAAACCCTAGACTAGTAAAGCAGAATTCCTGAATTGGAAACTACCCTTTTTGTTCTGTTCCGTTGGTTGTCTGCATGTAATAAGTAGTAATAAAATATTGAAAAAGTTGAAGGTACGAGTTAAATTAATGATAAATCTCTAATGTGTTGGCCACCAGCTTGCCATGGAGAAGGAGGAATGTGAGCGTGAGAAGTGGCGGATCATCAAGAAGGCCCAGGAGGCGGCGGAGCGTGCAGTCAACCTGCGGTCTCAGTGCGACAACAAAGACCAGGCTCTCAAGAAGCTGGAGGTGGAACTAGCAGAGGTACACCGCCCACACTCGAGTTCTATACGGGTTAAGAGTTAAGACCTCATTCCAGTTCAGAGCATATGCGGAGAAGAAGTCTGTGATTTGGTTCAAATCATGTATTTCTCTTCCTCCAACCCCATCTTTTTTCTAGGTTTGCAGCATACCCATTCCAGTTGGGTTTATCCCAGTGGTAAACGTCTATCACTTCTCTTCAAATTTTATCCCACATCAAAGGGACACCCAGTGATGCAACCGAAATACTGTCCAAAACAGGGATAAACCCAACTTAATCACCCTTTGTATCAGAAAACAGTAACATACAGTGGAAACCGCCTAAGTAAAGACCGCTTAACTAAACAGACCTGATAAGTAAACACTTTTCTTTGGTCCCGGCAACTTTCTTCATTAATTATCACTATTAGAGTTCGGTTAACTAAACTCGGATAAGTAAACAATACCGCTTAACTAAACGTCTTCTCATGGTCCATGGAAGTAAATTACTTAACAAAAGAGACTGGATAACTAAATTAGCGATCACCACATAATCCGACATGAGGGGCAGTCATGTCAGTCTCCAGTCAAACAAACATCCTACTTACAGCTCGCTGGCGTCAAGCAGTTGACAATACACTGCCAGCCCTGATAAGTTGTTCATTGTTACATATGCATACATATACATGCATACGGTTGTCATTTGCAGGTTTTTATAAGTTTGGATAAGTAAAATACCTGATAAGTAAACAATTTTGGCGAGTCCCTTGAAATTTTACTTATCAGGTTTCCACTGTAATTTCCAACTCAAGTCAGGACCGATCTTGATCTAATTCAGTCACCACTTATGTAACCTATGAAGCATGGAGGAAAAGACGTAAGGCTCTTTATGGAACCTTGCTGACTCTGGGAAAGTGTTTTTCAGTGGTGGAATATAGCTGTTATAATGCTACATTCACTCACTATCTTCTACAGTTGAAGACCAATCCTGTTGACCCCAACAAGTCTTCCAGTGCTTCCGAGGCTGATCACACCACCCACAGCGTTGCCAGCACCATCGCTAGCGAGGAGCTGCCGCCATATGAAACCATGTCTCAGTCCGACGCGTCCCGGGATGATAGCTTCTCAGGTTAGTTCAGCTTGTGTCATGTAGGACAAGTCTATGGTATTTCATATCAAGCATTTGACTACACTTTCAGAACTAAATGTCAGAAAATCTTCCTAAAACTGTCCTAATTATTTAGTTGTTGTTTTGTCTGGATGGCTTGCATTTCAGTGATAAGAGAACACACATGAAGATTAGATTATGACAAACAGCCCTGTCAAGGTGTGGGGTTTTTCCCAATAATTCTGTATACAACTTGATGTGACTTTGTTCCAAGGCAACATGAAGTGACAACACGTCATGTTTTATTCCTCTTCTGGGGGCGGTGGGGTAGCCTAGTGGTTAAAGCGTTGACACGTCAAGCCGAAGACCCGGATTCGATTCCCCACATGGGTACAATGTGTGAAGCCCATTTCTGGTGTCCCCTGCCGTGATGTTGCTGGAATATTGCTAAAAGCGACGTAAAACCAAACTCAGTCAGTCAGTCAGTCATTCCTCTACTGACTTGAAGCACAAATATGTAAGTGAAAATTGGCATGTTTTCAGTTAAGACAAGCACATCCATTAAGCATCTCTCCAGCAACATGAAGCACCATTAAATAGATACAAATCTGTGATGTTTTCAGTAAAGACAAGCACCCCTAGTCATGACTTGAGTGTCAACTCATTCACCAACCCCAACAAGCAGCTCAACACAAGTCACGAGCTCCCGGGAACACGACACCAAGAAGAGGCACCGGATCCCAGTGTTTGGCTCCTTGACTCGTATGTTCAGCAAGGGGAGACTACGCAGGTCCATCGCGCTGCCGCATGGAGAGACCTTCGATGGTAGGATCATAGATTAACATTTAGTCTCTGAAATGAAACTTTTCTGAGATACTTTCCAGGGATGTGGGTACCTGAATGGTTAAAGCGTTCACTCCTTATGCTGAAGACCCAGGTTCAATTCCCCACATGTGTACAATGTGTGAAGCGCTATTCTGGTGTCCCCCCGCTGTGATATTCGAATATTGCTAAAACCAGCGTAAAACCATTCTCACTCTGATCTGTCTGATCTAAGCTGTCTCGCCCTGACAGATTAGCTAGCCATACAAAAGAATCACATGCTCTTTAACGTCTGATCATTTCTTCACACATGTTCTACTCATTCATTGGGGAAGTGAGGTAGCCTAATGGTTAAAGTGTTCGCTCGTCCCGCCGAAGACCCGGGGTCGAATCCCTACATGGGTACAATGTGTGAAGCCCATTTCTGGTGACCCCTGTCGTGATGTTGCTGGAATATTGCTAAAAGCGGCGTAAAACCAAACTCACTCACTCACTCTACTCATTCATTTAAGAATGGATGGTAAATGCAAGATGAGAGCAGTTTTTTATCAACTGTCAATTGTTTTGGCGTACAGACCCAGGTCACCCGAAGCTTGCCCTTTTGAGCCCCGACAACTATCAGGAGAAGCTGGCCTTGGTGAACGGACTCAAGGGAGTCCACATGACCAACTGGAAGGCCAATCAGGTGCTGGCCTGGCTCGAGATCTCACTGTCTATGCCTATGTATGGGAAAATGTGCGCCGAGAATATCAAGAGTGGGAAGGTAGGTGGACTTCATCGTTCGTGTAGGTCCCTTGTGGACCTTTGCTGGTTGTAAGAGGTGACTTAATTTGTTTGGTGGTAGGGCTCAATGGTTTCTTGATTACACATCATTGTACCCTATCACCAACTTATCTGATTCATAACTTTGAGGCCACTGTCAAGTAAGATCTTTGAGTGGCCTTTCACAATTGGCTGTGTAATTGATTAAAGGTACTGTGTATGATCAGGTACTAAGTTATGATTATAGCAACATTTCCATGTAGATTCTAACACCACCATGAACAGGTGCTTGCTTCATAAGACTGAATGAAAGGATTTCTTCAGTCTACGATTTTTGTCACTGTCCCAATGCATGAGTCAATGTCAAGGAATTATTTGACCAAGATTATTTTTATGCAACCTAATTGTGTTAGAACTTCCTGGATAAGGGGGTATGCAAAGATCAGCAACCTATACTTTGGTTTATGCAAGTCATTATGTCACCATGTCAGTGGTCAACTCTAACTTTGCTGAGAGGGTTTAAACAACAAATAATCAATGATGAGGGTGTTATAATCACCATGTGGCAGGAATATTGCAAAGTAGAGGTTTAAACGAGAAACAAATGAATGCTGACTATCCTCCCTCTCTGCTGTAGGTACTTCTAGGGCTGAGTGACTCTGACCTGGACGCTGCCCTCGGCATCACCAACAGTATACACCGACGGAAGCTGCGACTAGCCATCGAGGAACAGCGGGACCCAGGGGAGATGTAAGTCACTACAAGTTCTTTGCTGACCCTATTACACTTAAGACATTCCCTATGGAATTCAGGTTTAGAATCAGTCAAACCTATGAGTTATTCTTCGGCAACCCATACTTGACGTGAGAGGTGACCAACAGGATTGGCTGACTTGGTCGACACATGTCATCATATCCCAACTAAGTAGATCAGTGCTCATGATGTTGATCATAGGATTGTATGGTCCAGACTGCCGCTATAAAGCTGGATTAATGCTGAGTGCTGCGTTAAACAACAAACAAACAAACTGCCACTTTGCCGATTGTCTGACATTGTACACTGACATTGTGGATCGTTAAAATAACAATCATTGGTTTGTCTTGAATATTACCCAGCCACCATTATAGCTGGTTTGGTATTAGACAAGAACCAAACTAACACTGGTTTGTGTATAAAAGTTCCTTTGTTGACAGTAAGATCAGAGGCAGTGGCTAGCCTAGTGGTTAAGGTGTTTGCTCATCACGCCAAATAATCGAGTTCAAATCTCAAATCAAAAAAATAATCGAATGTATGTGTTTCATCACAACCATTTTATCAGCTAATGTTGAATGTATTTCTGTCCACAGAAAATATTCGAAGGCAGCAAACATTGACCACACGTGGGTGTCTCACCGGTGGATACCCGACCTGGGTCTTCCCCAACATGCGGCCGTGTTTGAATCCCAGTTAGCAGACGGCAGACTTCTCAACCAGCTGTCCAAGAAAGACCTCGAAAAACATTTTAATGTCCATCGCAAGTTTCACCAAGCCAGTATTCTACACGCCGTGGAATTACTACGGCTGCTCAATTTTGATAAAGAGGTTTGTGTCGACAAGTGCATGCCGCTGCAACATACATGTTTATTATCAATATTTTAATTATTTGTTATCATGTTTGTGATTTTAATTTTGTTTTAATTCTGTTTAAATTTTTGTCACATATTAATTAGTGAATATTCAAGATGCAATTGCAGTAAAAAAAAACCTGTTGCTTTGATAACACCTAATTCATGAAAATAAGAGAAATTAGTATCAGACCTCTCAATTCATGATGAAGAGTTGTGTCCCTTATCTGTGCCAGGATCTACTGGTCATTACTCCAAATACATCATGCTTCCCTATAATGATCTTTGGTTTCTCAGAACCATATCTGTGCTAGTGAGTTTTCCAAGTATTGTATACATCTCGCTTTTGACATGCCGTTGTATAATTGAAATATTGTTCAAATGTAAGTGGCATTAAACCCCTCACTTATCCTTGATGTTGTGTTTCAGTTGTTAACAGAGAGGCGGACCCAGTGTGAAGACAACAACACAGATCCCCTTGTGTGGTCCAACGACAGGGTCATGAAGTGGATAAGATCCATAGAACTTGGGGTAAGTACAAGGTCATGAAGTGGATAAGATCCATAGAACTTGGGGTAGGTATAAGGTCATGAAGTGGATAAGATCCATAGAACTTGGGGTAAGTACAAGGTCATGAAGTGGATAAGATCCATAGAACTTGGGGTAAGCTATAAGGTCATGAAGTGGATAAGATCCATAGAACTTGGGTAAGTACAAGGTCATGAAGTGTAAGATAAACTTGGTCATGAAGTGGATAAGATCCATAGAACTTGGGGTAAGTACAAGGTCATGAAGTGGATAAGATCCATAGAACTTGGGGTAAGTATAAGGTCATGAAGTGGATAAGATCCATAGAACTTGGGGTAAGCACAAGGTCATGAAGTGGATAAGATCCATAGAACTTGGGGTAGGTATAAGGTCATGAAGTGGATAAGATCCATAGAACTTGGGGTAAGCACAAGGTCATGAAGTGGATAAGATCCATAGAACTTGGGGTAAGCATACAAGGTCATGAAGTGGATAAGATCCATAGAACTTGGGGTAATTACAAGGTCATGAAGTGGATAAGATCCATAGAACTTGGGGTAAGCACAAGGTCAGGAAGTGGATAAGATCCATAGAACTTGGGATAAGTGACAATGTCTTGAAGTGGATAAGATCCATAGAACTTGGGGTAAGTAAAAGATCTTGAAGTAGATAGGGTCGGTGGGGTAGCCTAGTGGTTAAAGTGTTGGCTCGTTACACCGAAGAACCAGGTTCAATTCCCCACATGGTTATAATGTGTGAAGCCCATTTCGGGTGTCCCCCCGCCATGATATTGCTGGAATATTGCTAAAAGTGTCATAAAACCATACTCACTCACTCACTTGAAGTAGATAAAATCAGTAGAACCTGGGGTAAGTAAAAGGCCATTAAGTAGATAAAATCAGTAGAACTTGGGGTAAGTTCCAAGACACAGCTGGAAAACCATTAACAAAAAAAGAAGAAGCAATTATTATGCCTCTAGACCTGATTATTTACAGACCTGCATGAGGTGGTTTGAAACATGTGGTATAAAACATGTATCAACCCAGGTTTCACTGATGCTGTTTTCAGGAGTATGTCCAGAACCTGAGGGAGAGTGGCGTTCATGGAGCTCTAATGGTGCTGGAGCCATCGTTTACTGCAGACACCCTCGCAACAGCCCTTGGCATCCCTCTGTCCAAGTCATACCTTCGTAGACACATCGCCACGGAGTTGGAAGCCGTCATCAAGCCAGCTAGGTGTGTACAGCACTCAAGACTCTTAGAGCTCTAAAGCTGAGGGTTCTGTTTACAGTTCTGTTTACGGTTCTACAGATGTGAAATTGGTGTTTGAACATTACCCTGAGATCCTGTGCCTCTCTGTGATTGGTGTTTGAACATTACCTGTAAAAGTAATTATCAATTAGAGATCCTGATGCCTCTCTGTGACTTTCTGTAGAAATGTATCCAAACTAAGTGTAGTGTTTGGCAACGAACTTGGGTTCTTTATTGAAGACTTCTCATGGCTTCAGTGTTTTGTTATGCTATTCATTTGTTAGGTTTCATTTTAGTTTACAGAAAAACACAGCAAGGCACCTTGAGCTCAGTTAATAATTTCAGCTACAATTTCACAGATTGTTTGAAAAAATTACAATTACTCAAATTTCTCTCAATAGCCATGGGTGGCTGTTCCTGCCTATCTCGGATAATTTTGAACTTAAAGATAATTTGTTCATTTGGAAACTCAAGTCTTTTAATTAACTGTTATTAACTTTCCTTTTCTCTTCTAGCAAATAATATCTGTTTTTCAGCATGTCTGTTATCCTAAAATGTTTCTTGCCTTATCAATATTACTGTTTTAACAGATATATTATCTAGGAATGAAACATACAACTTTATGGATAGCAACTTCTTGTTTATTATATAGAGCGACATTTCGGTATCAATTCTTACACCATTACACCTTAGCTTAGCTTGATAAGAATCTACATCGAAACATCGCTGTATGCAATAAACAAGAAGTTGTTATCCATAAAGATGTATGCTTCATTATTGACTCACCAACTTCTAGAATGCTGATCAAACAGTTAGATGTATTAACTGCTTGTCCATATGATGGTGGTGACATTGTCACAATAGAGTGACATTGACCAGGGTCCTAGGTTCCAAAGCCATCTTAGTGATGTGACTGTCTTAAGAGTGTTCCAGAGTTACGATGGTCTTAGCGCTAAGATCGCTTTGTGGAATGGGACCCTGGTAATATTTTCAGGGCATTTTACATCCATGGTCTGGTTGCTTTCTCTTGGATTATATAATATAATATATACAGAGTTATGGCCCTTGGGCGAGCCAGGATCTTATGATTGTCGGCTTGAAATTCTTATTATGATCTTTTATTTGTCAGAACCAGAGGGGAGCCTGTTGGTCTTAGTAAGATGGTATGGGGCTAAGATAGGCATCACTTTTGGCTTTTCCTTAACTTAACATGATGATACTGAAATTTTGTACAAGACGCATTTAACCCAATATGCTTTCCAATCAGTATGCTCTTTAAGATTATTCTCTTTGGCATTAAATTTAAGTAGCTTTTCTATTCAGGTAAGAATATTAATTTCACAATTTAGATTTAAATTAGAAAAAAGGACATTTAATTTTGCTGTAATGCCGATGATAAAGACTAAATATGTGCAAGATGGTTACCTACTGGTTGCGTTTATGTTTGGTTCCATATTGAAAAAGACTTATAAATAACGGTATATGATCCAAGCTGTATGACATGGATGTAAAAGTACCCTGTGAGTCGAGGATGATCCGATTCTGATATGCTAGATTAGTTCACTTGAGATTAACATGTTGTTTCTTCTCTCCCCACTAATTGAATGACAGGTCTTACTTAGCTGGGCTGAAATTGTTGAGGTACCAATTCTTATTGTCCATCCCTAGTTATGTATTGCATGGGCCTTGTTCATTTTTCAGTTCATCCTTCAGTTCATCCTTTTGTTCATCCTTCTGTTCATCCTTATATCATCCTTCAGTGCATGTTGTGCTCTAAACCTGCAATTCCCTGTTGTATATGGTTGATCAGGGAATAAGTCTCGTATCGCTTGGGTATACTCACCAAGGGATTGTTCACCTACATTCTAACTTTGGTTGTTAAAAGTGTGTGATAAGTATGAAGATGTGTTTTGTGTGAGTTAACCAACTGTGTTATGAGTTTTTAACACTGGTGCAAATACTAAGGTGTGTGACAAGGAGATGTATATCCCGTATCTGACAATCACTGGAATTGTCATGCATGGCAGTGAATATTGTAATCCTGATAACTGAGTGGTGTCAGTAACATGGTATATAATGTATTTTCATTCAGTCAGTATAAGGACTTATTAATCCATCAGATCGTTTGTATAGCAATCACAAATTGTATGTTCTGGGTATGGCAATCACAAATCATATGTATGGCAATCACAAATTTTATTTACTGGGTATGGCAACCACAAATTGTATGTATGGCAATCACAAATTGTATGTACCAAGTATGGCAATCAATAGGAGCAAAATATTCAGAACAATATCCTTGAGTGTGTCTCTGCTTTCAAGTTTTGATTTGCGAGTTCTGAAAAATATGCAGTAATGATACATGGTGGCAGTGAGTTTGCTTCATTCATGTAGTTAATTTGACAACATTCATTCATGATTCTACCTTAAAAATCAACAAGTAATGTGTCAGATAAAGTCATAATTCTTGTTCCAAATTGCTCTAGATTTCACCATTTACAATCTATGTTGTTTTATAACGTTGGACGCACAAACCGCCTAGAAGGCAGATTGGGGTCTTTGTATCACAATATCTTTCTTGAAAGCTCAGTCCACTATCAGTGATATTTCTTGACATCCTACAGTGATGTAGGAGTGAGTGAGGTTAGTTTTACGCCAATTTTAGCAATATTTCAGCAATATCAGGGCGGGGGACACCAGAATAGGGCTTCACACATTGTAACCATGTGGAGAATTGAACCCAGATCTTCGGTGTGATGAGCAAATGCTTTAACCACTAGGCTACCCCACACCCCAAGTGATGTAGGAAGGCTAGGTAGCATGCTTGGAAGTGTTGTGTATTACCTGCATGCCTTGATGTCAGCCAACTTGGATTCCTCCAGTTTGGTTCAGAACATTCTGATAGTTTCATGCTAGATAGTGTTTTTGTTTGCCATGTAGTTGCGTCCTTTCAGTTGTAGTTTGTAATATGATAACAGTGGTAATGAAAATGAGGGTTTTCATGACTTCTTGGTCATAAAGATGTCTGGTAGAATATGCTTTTTCTTGATATCAACTGCCACTGTGAACTAAACACACTCACAAAAGGAATCCTGCTTGTCTGAGAACGTGGCTCAGAATGAAATTTCCGAGTGCTTGTTTTTCTCACAACATGGATTCGGGTGCAGCAAAGGTGTCCATGACACCTAGGAGTGAATACTGTTAATTCTTATGCACCTCTACATGTGGTTGGGATGGGTGACCCACTTATCGAAGCACACCCCCAAACAGACACATTTGCACAGGCATGCACATGAATGCACACACATGCATGCATAAGTGAGTGAGTGAGTTTAGTTTTACGACTCACTCAGCAATATACCAGCTATATGGCGGCGGTCTGTAAATAATTGAGTCTGGACTAGACAATCCAGTGATCAACAGCATGAACATCAATCTACGCAATTGGGATACGATGACATGTGTCAACCAAGTCAACAAGCCTGACCACCCGATCCCGTTAGTCACACATGCACAACCTACAACATGATAATACACAAAATATGCCTGTTCCATACTGTCAACCTTGATAATGTGATGACATGGATGTATAATTCTGTGTCTGCTGTCGACAGAGCTGCCCTTGACACCCCCAACAACAACACCAAGATGCGCATCAACGGGACAGGGTCCGTTGGGCGGTCCTTCATCCGGTCCTACCGAAGTGCATCACTGGACGATGGTGGACCAAAAAGCAGACTCAGTTTTAGGGTAAGTAGAAGGATAAACTGTTACCTGGATACTGTTTGTTTGTTTCTTTCTTTCTTTGTTGTTTTACGCTGCACTCAGCAATATTCCAGCTATATGGCAGCGACTGTAAATGATCGAGTCTGGACCAGACAATCCAGTGATCAACGCCATGAGCATCAATCTACGCAATTGGGATATGACGACGTGTCAACCAAGCCAGCAAGCCTGACCACCCAATCCGTTAGTCGCTTTTATGACAAGCATGGGTTACTGAAGACCTATTCTCACTTGGATCTACCTGGATTAGGGCTGCGCAATATAACCGGTTTACCGGTATTTACCGGTTCAGACATGAAAACGATACGTATTGCGATACGCTGATCGAAAACCGGTATTTTGACATGCATTAGGAAAACGTCGTAACACTCGGAAATCTTCGGATATTTCCTTGTTTCATTTGTGCCAAATATTATTCACATTTTTATTTTATCATGATTAAAATTTGTTATTAAAGCTTAATCAAGCATAGTGATTTTGTTGTGTTTTTGCTCTATAAATCAAGCAGTAACTCGATTTGTAGTTTTTTGTTTAAAAATACTTCATGCAATATATTGCAATGCATATCGCAATACATGCTTTCGCATCGCAATATATCGCAATATGAATATTCTCTGCGATACCCACCCCTAACCTGGATACTGAAATATGTTATAGTTTGGAGACAACAACTAGTTTTGTTTACAACTAGTAAATTGTTATGTTATAAAGTTGATTGTATTTCATTGTTTGAGGCCTGGTCTTGGTGCCCATTTATAGTGTGACTGTAGTTTGTGAAAAAGTGGCATAAAACTTATCTGCCTCACTCACTCCAACCAAATCTTACTTTTCTAATCCATTGCACAATTCCTGTGTTGACATTTTTTTCACTTGGAAGATGTGAATATATTTTGAATATATCACAGTTTGTTGACAATGGTGTGTATGTTCTGCCGACTTCAAATAGCAAAAAAGGACTATATTTATGTTTCTGTTTTCAGGGTTCATTGGGACGAGCTTTTGGGAGGAAAATAAAGGATGATTTACGCATGACATTTGACTCGGACGTTACACCAAAATCCCGACGAGGGATTAAAATCTCGGATCCTATCCCAATCCAGCACAATCACTCACTAGACTCAATAGTGGAGCCAGACTCTACCACAGTGTGAGATAACACCAGTATTCCTTCAGATGCTTCCCATGATGCTCAGTGCTTGCTTGGGCTGTTCCACTACACAGTAGGGGTGGTAGTACACCATGTGATACATGTCAATATTATCATGTGGTTGATGGATATGGATGAATCCATTCTGGTTTGGATTTGGATCTGATTCAAGATGTGTTTTGAAATGGAATAGTCCTAAGGGGTGAAAGCTTCAACTGCCCAAGGGAAATAACTCTAGGTTCCCTGTCAACCATCAGTGTGATATGAAAAGTGCTTTTAACTCTAGTCCATTGTTGGTTAAGGGATGTCAGGTGGATGCTGTGATGAGATGTTCCAAGTGGTGTTGTCATGGTGACCATGACAGTTCTATTTGAGATTTTCGGAGGATGAAAAGATTCGTCCGCAAGATTTTCGAGAGAGTCTGGAGACCAGTACGTGTTGTTGATGATGTTGTGATAGGACTTGATTGGTCGTAGTAGACGTGAAACAGTGGAGCACTACTTTAAACGTGGAGGAGGGACTGATGACAGAGGCCATTTGTTAAACCATAGTCACACTGTATGGGTTTAGACTAGCTTTAATATCACTATACAAGCTGCTCATGTACCTCAAACTACAGCATATACAGAATTATGGTTATTTAGACCAGCATGCAGACATGTAAACAATTGTGTCCACAAGTTTTCAAAATGAAAAAAATTAATTATTTATTAACACTGCTCAACTTATTGATATTCAGTACAAATGAGGATATATTTTCTCAATGAGAGTAAAGTAGAAATAATTTCAAATTGACATTTACTGTTTTGTGACGTCAGTGCACTTTGATACCACTGAAGACAGTCGTGTGGGAGATAGCACCAAAGGAGAGTTTCTATTGGTTATCAAGGTTAATATCATTTTTAAAAGAAGATGTACACTGTATTTCTACTTTCTCATGATGTTGCCTTCAGAAGTATTAATATTTTTGTTGTTTATAGATTTGGAAGATTTGGTGTTGAAAAGAAAGTAACATTTTAACTGTATTATTTTTTATTTTTTAATGAAAAAAAGAAAAGAAATAGTTTTTATTTTCTCTTCACTGAAAACAGTACACAATGTTTAACATTTTCTAATATTGGGTTGGTGAAATTGTAAACGAGGGTAAATGTCAAAAAAGACTATTTAATTTATTATGGCCTGCTCACATAAATTTTAACAGTACTATTGAAAGGCATCAAAACACTCAGCACTTGTTATTGAAAATATTGTAATATTTTCAGTGTTCCTATTGGCTGTTTAACCAAAGCTTTCTTCACAGCACAACACAACCTTCACTCAGTATGAGTGTTGAGTCTTTTCATTGTGAGATGGGGCGGTGGGGTAGCCTAATGGTTAAAGCGTTGGCTCGTCACGCCGAAGACCTGGGTTCGAATCCCCACATGGGTACAATGTGTGAAGTACATTTCTGGTGTCCCCCGCCGTGATGTTGCTGGAATATTGCTAAACGCGGCGTAAAACCAAACTCAGTCAGTCATTGTGAGATACCATACATTTGACACATTTTGGCATTCTCGCTCTGAGAACAAGTGGACATTGTTTTGATATTCTGAACCATTTTTTGCTCATCAAAATCTATAATCTTATCAAGTATTCCTAAAAAGCATGGATGGTTATAGTTTTATTAGGTATCCTAATCAGTTTTGGGGTAACATTTTATAGATATATGATTACTGTACTAATGTATACAAGGATGAATATGTTCGTATCTTAGGTATTAATAAGTGTGTTTTTAAGTCACTCAGAGGATAATGTATAATTCAGATAGACTGGGGACAGACTTACTGCTAAGACAATCAAGGTATTAATTCTAGCAAACAGCTCATGTAGTTCTCGGAAGAACTTGGATACAGCGTAAGAAATCCTGTAAATATTACTGTCTTCATGCAGGATGTCAATTATCTGGTCATGCAGTAAACATGGCAACTGTTTTTAGCGTTAGTCGTTTATGGATCATATTTTCAACTCCAATATAGGACAGTAAAATAGAATAACACTTTTCATTGCAAAGGAACTAACACCAGGTAGCTTTCGTTTCAGCATGAAACAGTTAATTGTGAAGTATATGGTACGTTAACAAATTATACATTTTACGACAAGCGTTTGCCAGTTCCGGCTACTTTCCAGTGTTAATAAATATTTAGCTCAAAATATTCAAAATCCAGTGTTCAGAAATATAAATATTTAACTCAAAATTATCAAAAATCTTAAATTCTACAAATAATGGTTTTGGTCTTGCTGTAATCTCATTTTGTAATGAGTGGAGCTGTTGGGTAGCATAGTGGTTAAAGCGTTTGCTTGTCACACCAAAGACCAGGGTTCGATTTCCCACATGGGTACAAAGTATGAAGCCTATTTCTGGTGTCCCCCTGCCATGATATTGGTGAAATATTGCTAAAAGTGGCATAAAACCATATTCACTCACTATTTTGGAATGATGAAACTGAGATGTTAACATTGCACACCTCTTCGTAGATTGTCTTTATAATGTGTACATATTTGTAAGGATGGATGCAGATCTATTTATTTGTTTATTTTACACTGTGATCTGGCATTTTATAACTGGGAGTTTGAAAAGAGCATGCGTTTAACTGTAAGCAAAGAATCTGTACCATTTAATGTTGCGTCGAGTTATTTCAATGTTAAGTGCAATTTAGATGGTTATGAAGAAGAAATACCTGACAGCTAGTTGTATTTTCTTCAAGGAATGACAAGAATAGGATATAGTGCTGTCCTCGTTAGGATAATTTGGTTGTTTATTATCATGTTTGTTAATTACGTCAAAACTGTTTCTACAGTGAGAATTGTTGGTTCCTGAAACAGATTTGTTACTTTGATGTGACACCATTACACAGTGAAAGTGTGTTTATGAGATATATCATCATTTTGAAACAAGAATTTTCAGTTGATATAACAGTTATACACCTTGTCTGGAATTGGTATTCTGGACCCTTAAGATAAGGGCACCTACACAGTCATGCAATTTTATCAGACACACAGGTTTTCCTGCAATTCTTTTATCCTCACAAAAATCATATAAATATGTTTTATTAATACTGATAGCATTCACTTTTATTGTTTATTTTAAATACCCCTTCTTTGGGGTTCGATATGGTTTAAGTCTTAAGTAGGCAACATGATCACTGCTAAAGATAAATCACAGCTTCCAAAGAACATTTACTAAAACTGAATGATGTTTTCAGACATTTTGGTCCTCTATTGCTAAAAATATGCTCAGGACCACCAATTCATCCATATTACTAAAGTCAATCTTTCATGACATAAACCTCAGATTCTTTCATTTTGCTAAAGATAAACTTTCAGACCATGAAATATAAAAACTATTAAAGCTATTAAAACTGGGAATTGGTGGTCCTTAACTTCTTTTGGGCAGGATAAAAGTGTTTATGTGTCAAACGTTTCTAAGGTTGTCATTACAGATCAGATTTTAAATACTCGTCCCATTAACTGTTAACGGACATTTTGTCTGATAAAGAAGCTGAAGTGTCGAACCCTTCCCTTGATTTATCTCAAGCTGTTTTAGAAGTATTAAACAAAGATTTGTTACATATGATGTAGAACACTGGATGTTTATATTGTACGTCATATGTTCTAGTCAGTTTTAGAATTTACTGTTTTAAGCTTGGGGAAGCAGTGTGAGTGGTGTCCTAGACTTGTGGAGAAATTGTTATATACCTGTTCACACAACACCACGCAACATGTGATTTTAATTAGTTTTGTAAATATGGATTTTTGTATATGTTGATCTATAAATCTATGAAAATAAAATGTCAAAATAAGTTTCTGTTTGTAATACTATGAGATTTGATCAGGCCAGACCAATTTTATTTCTTGTTTTACAGATTTTTGTCCTCCAAGGCAGGAGGGAAAATAAAATAAAAATGAAATCACCAGTCAAAGTGATATTCCTTCTAAATACTCAAAGTATGTTACTTTTGGCAATTTATGAAGTGTATATGGGGCAAAAAAACAATCTTCTGGTGTTTCTGCACAGCGAGTTGATGTGTCTAAGCCGACTGGGCCCCCGTAAGATCAACCAAGAATTAACATAAATTCTTCAAGGAATCTATTTGGATTTCATACTGAGGCCAGACCATTTTTATTTCTTGTTTTATGGATCCGCCTGTCATATTTTCATATTTTTTCAAGAATAAGAAAAAAACATTTAATTTTCCCCACTCAAAAAAATAAAATCCTAATGTTTTTATTGGCCAAAAATGTTAACATACAAGAAAAAAATTTAACTTGCGACTGTGAGTTTTAATTCAGTTTGCCCTGATTGTCTATCAAGGTCCTTCAGCACTAACTTGTGCTCAGGGGTGATAAGACAGAACGGTATCACATGAGGATTTCCACTTGCTGATGATATAACAAGAATATTGTTCCAAGCAGCAATAAACTCACTCACTCACTCACCAGAATGAAATACACAGAAGTCATGAACAATATATCCTGTTATATAATCAATTTATTGTATTTCCAATATTATCCACTGGAGCATTGGATATAGCTGAAGTAATATTCAGTAATTCAAACTGCTGATTGGCTAATCCATTCCAGTTGTTCCATTGTTTGTGAAGAGTTGAAGTCATCCATTGTTTATGACATCATAAACAATATAATGTGATGTGTTTCTGACAACAGGTCAGCTTGACCTCCTGTCTACACTTCCCCATACGTTTTAGAGTAAAATACTATGGGTAAATTATCATTAATAACTTGCATCTGGGAATTACAGAATATTTGTCAAATTGTGAATTAATGTTAAGTTCCTTAGGAAGGTTGGGAATTTACAAAACATTTAATCAGAGCACAGGTAATCCATAGCTTGTAGGTGCATTTGCTGTCAAACCTTCAGTTGATATGACACTATAATAACTGACCAATCAAATTGCTCTCACGAGCAAGAGAACTTCTGTGCTACCGGTAATTAAGTACCAGTACCCTTGCTCTAGGAGAGAACAAAGCTAATATGGTATAATGGGTTCAGGGTATGTATGATAATAAAGGTTATATACTTCACCAGATAGCTGAGCTTGGAACACTGGAGTGTGGAAGATTAGTAGTTTGATAACTGGCCGTGTAATATCACGAGAGAAAATGTGGCACAAAACTGCCTATGAGGGTAACTTAGGACTAGTGTCATTATACTGTGGGGGCGGTGCGGTAGCCCACTGGTTAAAGCGTGTTGTCATGCTGCAGGTCCTGGTTCGATTCCCCACATGGGTACATTGCGTGAAGCCCATTTCTGGCCTCCCCCTGCCGTGATATTGCTGGAATATTGCTTAAAAAAAGCGGCGTAAAAGCAAACTCACTCACTCATAATACTGTGTCTTTGTTAATTTGTGGCATGGTATCTCACAAAGAACAAATCCATCATGAGCCGGAGCTAATACAAGCAGACACTCACCGACTCCACACTCATGTATATAATGCAATACAACCTTACACGTGACATAAAACCCAACTTCACTCATCTCCGCTCTTATCGAAGGCCAAGGCAGCTTATGTGGATCTCTGGGGTGATGGGGGTGGGCCTAGTGGTTAAGGTGTTCGCTCGTCATGCTGAAGACCCGGGTTTGATTCCCCACATGGGTACAATGTGTGAAGCCCATTTCTAGTGTCCCCTGCCGTGATGTTGCTAGAAAATTGATAAAAGTGTGTGAAACTAAACTCACTCACTCACTATGTCGATCTCAACCAAGCAAGAGTTAGTATGTATCATTATGACTACACACCCGCCATATAGCTGGAATATTGCTGAGTGCGGAGTAAAACTAAACTCACTCACTATGACTACACACTCACTCATAAATAACAAAGCACACCAAACTCTTTGAGATTCTGTTTATTTTTTTCAGCCTGATTTCATTCTTTGCCATTAACTGACTGTACTATGACACAATATCAGCAAACTTGTCAGTCTTCAAAAGCAGAACAACTACTGCAACTAATAGCAATCGTGAATGTTGTTATTTGCAATTGATATTATTATTATAATTAATATTAAATAGTTGAATTGACTGAGTTTAGTTTTACGCAGCTTTAGCAATATTCCAGCACTCATTGTGCCCACGAACCGGGTTGATGAAAACTCTTTTACTGTTGCTTAACGTTTATTTGCCAACAATATGTATTCAAGTCCTGACAGTAATAAAAATGAACTACACAATGTATTAAAAAGTTACTGAAGAACAGGAACAAAATAATACACCAGAACATTTTACCTTTTTCCTATCAGAATAACAGGTGACTTGACATGCATCAAACCTAGTCTGGATTGATCAAGACGGGATTACAGTAGACTTGCACAAGTCTCTAAGGTAATAATTAATAGTTTAAACGATAATTTCTAAAAAATATTAATATCCCTCTAACAGACTGACTTGCTTGCACTGTGCTTATCTAGACTTGCCTAAGGATGGAATTACTTTTCATCCATGGGCTTAGCCTTCAGTACAGCCTTGGAGCAAGGCTAGCATTACAGCTGCTTAGAGCATCTTTCAGTTATTTCAAACCATGCTGGCCTAATGTTAGAGGATACTTTGTATGTTTCGCGTTTAACGCACTCAGCTATATGAAAATGGTCTGAAAATAATCTCCTAGGACTCCAGCAGATCTTAGTGTTACTTTATGGACTTTTATACTTGGACCAGTGTCTAATGTTTCTTGTTTAAAGCCGCAATCAGCAATATTCCAGCCACATGACGAACATGTATATAATCGATTCTGGACCAGACAATCCGGTGACCAATACTGTAGGCAACAGGCAGACCACTAGTGTACAGTTACACACTATTGACCAAGTCACAGTCTTACCACACAATCCATGTGGTTACCTATTGCAACCACCATGTTGCCAAGGCTATACTATTCCCCTGAAAACACACAGGAGTAGTCTGAAGTAAGACTTGTGGTGGACATTTAACTCTATGGAAATCCATGAGCACTGGTGCAGACAAACCATGATCAGGAAAATTTGGATTCAAACTCGGATTTAATGGATCCTGGCCTTGTTTAGAAAACAGCACATTTTGATGGATTAGACCACAGGGCCTTGCAGTTCAGAGTTCATAGTTCACCCTGGACTTCAAAGCTCAACAATAAGACATACTTTGTCTGCAAGACAAATATTCTAAGCATGGAATACTAGTATTCAAGCAATAGCACACTGTGCAAAGAACACAACTTTGAGCCACATGCCACAAGTTGTGATTGTTTTCACACAGTGATGATCCAAGGAGATATCAGTGACCTCAAACCAAAAGATTTGCTGAAGATAAATGACATTTCAATCACTGAAATAGAATATTCCATATGCTCAGAGAGCACCTGGTATAGGCTAACTATAATCACATAAAAAAACTGTTCTCAACTAGTTTTGAGTTGTATATTGCTTAAACTGAAATGATAATGCAACAAATTCCATATGCTAAATATTAATAGTCCATTTCATAGTAATGACAAACATCGCATTTTCAAACACCTTGTTCGTATAAACCTTGTTTTGTATGAAATCAGCTAACAGGCAGCATCAACAGTCTTAGTAAAACAAAGGTTTTCAACAGTCATGATGGCATTCTTTGTAGAAACAAAAACCAAGCAAATAAATAAGTGTAAAAATTAAATATAAAAAATGGTCCTCCTAACCTGGTTCAAAAACACGGCAAAATCTGACTACACAACTTGGACGGAGAGGGATCAATCTCATTAAATCAAATCTTTTATTCCGATACAATACCTCTGTTTTAAAACCTAACAACCCTTCCATAAAATGTCCTATCAGATGAAGCATGAGCAACCTTTGACCTCCCAATTTAAATGAACGATACATGGGATCTCGAGCCAATCAGTTGTCAGCTTTCCAAATGATTCTTTCACACCTAATTTCACAAATATACCCCAATATTTTTTCAAAGGTATCTTCTTAGGTGCAGGTACCATCTTTTTGCCCGGAAACGACAGCATATATACAATTTTCATGGTACTACCTTTATTATTTACATTTGGACTTGCTGTTTGAGTTCATTTTTTAGATATGTTGCTTTTGATACTTTGATCACTCATTCCAAGATGTATTCTTATTTTTATAAATCAATAATTATGAATCAAGCCTTTAGTTAACAAGATAATGTTCCCCTAACATGGACTTCAAGAAATAATTTGTCACATCATGCAGAGAGGTATTGCATCGCAGTAATGGATCAGATTTGATTGAAATAAGAAATAGATGAATGATGAATCTGATTCTATATCAACAATGATCATAGAAAAATGAACACATCTATCATTCTGAAAAATGAAACACAAAAAGTGTCATTCAAAAATTAGCATACCTACATTTAAAAAACATGTCACTTGAAGATGCATTCTTGTTATTATGAAGCAACACTTATGAGTAAAAAATAATAATTATGAATTCAGTGTGATATGCCCAGCAGAATATGTTTATATTAAGTAAAGTGACAGCTACATAGATACACATTCTATACAGAACAAAGAATATAGGGATCACGATTTGGGGATACGCTTTAGTTGTGAAGACTGACTGACTGAGTTTGGTTTTACGCCGCTTTTAGCAATATTCCAGCAACATCACGGCGGGGGACACCAGAAATGGGCTTCACACATTATACCCATGTGGGGATTCAACCGGGTCTTTGGCGTAACGAGCGAACGCTTTAACCATTAGGCTACCCCACCGCCCCTAGTTGTGAAGATGAATTTCTTTAAATGTGTATGGTACATGTTTCATGATCCCTAACATTTTCTGTTCAGCATATGATGTATAGACATGCCAGATTATATTATGTAATTAAACAATCTTAATTTTCTTTGCATATTCAAAATATAGCATTTTTCAAACTATTGTTTACTAGGCATGAAATGGATGTTAAAAGGGAAGATAGCAATCACATTTGAGCAAATTTGTTTAATGATTATGACGTCCTACTAAACTGCATAAACATCACAAATACACACAGCATATATGCAGGTAGCACTATAGGATATAAATTGTGCTCAAATTAAAATATATACAAAAAATGTATTATGAACTTTAAAATGACCAGAGAAATATTCTCCACAAACAATAATTTAAAAACAAAGCTAAATCCAACAATTCAACAATTGATGTTATTAAGGAAATTTCGGTGAACATAAATACTCTCTTTCTTCACTTCACAGAAGACAAGAGGGCACCTGTTCATGTGAGTGACATTATAGATTACCTCAAACATGCCACTAGTCCTGAAACATTTTACCTCAGCTTTGATGCTTTTATACATACATCTGAACATTGCTCTAAGCTGTATCATATTTATATTTCCAGACAAAACACAAATTCCCATACAATATTCAAACTCCCAAACCATGTTTTTTTCCATACCATATCTATATTCCCATAATATAACTTAAATGTCCCATACCACATTTAAATTCCCAAACCATGTTTTTTTCCATACCATATCTATATTCCCATAATATAACTTAAATGTCCCATACCACATTTAAACTCCCAAACCATGTTTTTTCCATACCATACCATATTCCCATAATATTGTCCCATTTAAATTCCTTACCAACTTAAATGTCCCATACCACATTTATATTTTCCTTACCAACTTGAATTTCCCATACCATATTTATATTTTCTTACCAACTCAAATATCCCATACCATATTGATATTTTTATTACCAACTTAAATTTCCCATACCATATTGATATTTTCTTACCAACTTAAATTTCCCATACCATATTTATATTTTCTTACCAACTCAAATTTCCCATACCATATTGATATTTTTTTTAACCAACTTAAATTTCCCAAACCATATTTATATTTGTTTACCAGCTCAAATTGCCCATATTATATTTATATTCCCATACCATATTTTACATTTTCATACCATATTTACTGCTTAACCACTCAGCCCAAATTAGTGTCTCTGATCAACAGATATACTCGTCTGTAAGTAATCATAATGCGCCTCATATTCAGGACAAATTTTGACCCAATAGTCCATAATATATTGAGCTATAAAAATATACAGCAGGCGAAAATTGTCAACATTTTAACCCGAAAAGATGAATCTTGAAACTTCTGAATGGTTTCAGTAAACACCAGAGGTAGTACTGGTTATTGTCTAAACCAGCTGAAGTGAAATGTTTCAGAGTAAGCAGGCAAGCTGACCTCAAGTGGACCTCGAAATAGGTAATCTGTCCGTGAAAGACAGTTCGAAAATCTCAGGTAACTGAAAATGAGATCGCTATTGAATCTGAGGTATCCATATTTTAAACTTTAATTTTGTGTACTTTCCATGGTTACAGAGTGGAGAGTTTGACAACTTGTGTCCGATTAGTGACTATTCTTCTGAACAGGTAAGGGAGACAACTCTTGATGGCATGATGCAGGACGGATTTATACAGTATAAACATTATGACCAATGATACGATCAGATTTATCACAGATACTGCGGATGAAACCCCCAAATAATGTTGTATGGCAAATAAAGTTTAAGAAGACGGAATGAAAATATGAGTGAGTGAGTTTAGTTTTACACCGCACTCAACAATATCCCAGCTATATGGCGGCGGTAATGAAAATATGAAGAAACCCCATTGGGAAATTTTAACCAGCTTGAAAATCATGATTGTTCTCCAACACATTTGTCATACACATATACATTATTTCAGAGGATTCGATCCCAAACTAGATTTACATATGAGACATATTTTCAAGAGAGGTAGGTTACCATAGCAACAAGATAAAAATCACATGTGTAAATATTAGAGTCCCAGATAATTTAAAGAACTTGATAACTGTTTACCAACACACAATCAAACATGAAGCAGTATAAATTACACGAAGTACAAATTTGATGATAAACCTGGACGGAAGTAGCAACAACTAGACTGATATATTGCATATACAAAACAACTGATATTTTCAACATACTGCTAGAATTATGGTAAACATGCTGAATTAGGGCTGATGACATGAAAGTAATGATTCATAAACTGAATAGAATATATGCAGTCAAAAATTTAGAATCGACCTGATACTGGGCTTAGTGTTACTGAAATCTGGCCCTTATCAAGTATAGAATCAAATTTTAACTACCTTACATCCTGGACCAATTCTTTTGTCAGTTTTAAGGTGACCCTGCCCTATAATTTTCATAAACTGAAAAAAAACCCACCAGATATGTAATTGCAATATATGTCTGAAGGAAAACATTATCATATTTACATCATTCAGTTTGTTTTCTTGTTTTGATTGACACTTTAGAGGAAATTAACACTCAATCCTACCTGAATATGTTACCCCTAATTATTTGGAGCTTGGTAGAGAAAACCTTAACAAAATGAAAAAAAATTAGTGTGGCTTAACATCTTTAAAAGGGATTATTTGATGCTTAAAAATAGTTGTGAATCAGTAAACATGTGAAAGGTGTAAACAGGTGCAATGTAGATGGTGCATGATATCATATTACTTGATTTACAGATTAATATAAAATTGCACAAAATTCTGTCAAGTTTCAATAAAGATAAAAGTTGCATATGATGCAAAAATTCAAAACATTACCATTGAATCATTATATAAATTTTTCATAACTTTCGTGCAACTACTTAAAAGATTACTTTTGTCCAAATTAATATTTAATTCAAAGAACCCTCCTTCTTTAAAATTACAGCTGTAAATCGAACAATTGCTAAACAAGATGGGAATGGTCATGGATGATGGAGAGCTACTGACAAACACCGTAAATAGTCAACAAAACACACTTTCACACAATTGTTAGCTTAAGAACTGTGGTAAACACATAACCGGCACACATAGTGTGTCTTTCTCAGTCTGTGACGACCCCATCACAATTGTCAACAACTATATCACATGTGGGTAACAAATCATAACATCATTAATACCTGGAATTATTTCAAGATAACATTTTCTCTTTGTCATATTTCATCAAATTCAACAAATCATTTCAAATCAGTTCATTATTCATTCTGAGCTTGGTGTGAATCTGTCTTCTCGACAAATATAAACCCACAGTCTAGATTCTTTTCTCCTGAGGATCATGGATAATAAGGATGCAAGTATTAATTTATCTTCAAACCTCTGCCATCTCATCGGTCATTTCTTGTCCGGAGATATTGTTTATGTGGGAATGACATTTACCTCCCTTGGTGTCAGTTTGACTTTCAATCCATTTTTGACATGGGTTGTCGCCTTGAAGTCTGCTGAGGTTACCTCCCTTGATTATAACATTGGTTAATTCCCCTGCCTTGCAGCCAACTGACCTTCACCCTTCAATTGCAGTTTGACCTTTTGATCTTTCTTGACCTCTAAAGACATCTCCCTTGTAGGCATCTGAGGTTATCTCCCTTGGCATATAGTCACATCGTTTGTCGGATCCATCTCTCAACTTCCAACACCTCCAGATTCACGTTCAGTACAACAATTTCACACCATCACGCTGTTTACAAACAGTCTAGAAACTCCAAATGTTGGCACAATCACAAACACAACATGTCTCCATGCTAGATATGCATGACCAGTTCGGATAACATCTGTGAATAATTCTGATCGAAACTGAGGGCAGGTAACGTGACACTCTTGTCTCCGTCCCCTCGCACTGTAATCAGCTGTAATGACGTGTTGCCCAATTGGGCACCATGTCGACCCTCCAAAGAAAGATTGGGGAAAAGTTTTTCTGTCATGGCATCCACAAGGTAGGGATCGTTCCCCGACAGCAAGCCCTTGGTGTTGCTCTTTGGCATCAGCTTCTTTGGCCTGAAGTCAGAACATATGTATTAGATTCCAGCAGGGCTCCAAGAGCAAAATATTGTTATATGCTATGACCTACAATAAAACCTACCAGGGCCTGAACTTTGAAAATATGTATTAGATTCACACATGGTTCAAGGCGCAAGATATTGGTATATACAATGACCTACAATATGACCTACCAGTGCCTGATGTTTCAACACATGTATCAGATTCCATAATGGTTCCTGGAATGAAATATCGGTAAATTCTATGACCAATAAAATTACCTACCAGGGCCTGAAGGTATAACATATTTATTAGATTCACACATGGTTCAATGCACAAGATGTCAGTAAATACTAGGACCCACAATATAAACTAGGAATTCCCACCTGGTGCAAGATATTGGTAAATACTATTACCTATATTATGCCCTACCAAGGCCTGAAGTCTCAACATATATATTAGATGGCTCCTGGTGCCAGATATTGGTAATTATAATGACCTATAATGAGATCTACCTGGATGAGAATTTGTTTCATATATTTTTCATTTAAAGTATTTTCTGGGACAACATATGTTTTTCATAAAAACAAACAGGCCTCCAGTGAACAATATCAGTTGGTTTGTCCCTACTGTTCTCGGAACAATTGCATGGACACTGACCTTCCCCGTTTCAGACTTCCGACAGGTTTCTTTGTCACCTCCTCACCAACTCCATCAAAAAGTCGGAAAAGTAAATCTGTATTTGTCACTGTAACCTTGCGGTCAGGAGCCCGAGGTGGCTTCTTCTGTTCCTTGTCTTCAACCTCTGTTCGTTCCTCAGGCGGTGTGACCGGACGCATCTCTGTCAGAAACAACAGGAGTCAGTTTGTGTTATGTTTGTGTGAAATAAAGTTAGATAATCAATATATTATAGCAAAGTCAGACCTATTTCAACTAAGTGTTTAAAATATAAACAATACATCCAGAAATTCAGACATCTTCACATATCTAAGCTCTAGGCCTGACTGCCCTCTAATATCACTGTGACATCACAGTACAATGACATCACAGTACAATGACATAACACTTATTAAGAATACAATGAGACAGTGAGATGATGATGTTAACGGGGGGTCACCCATTTTGTTCTCGGGAGGTAGGGGGATCAGGTAATTTTCATACACATTTACATGCTACTACATAAATTTTGTACATAAAAACATTTAAAAATAATGCTTTAAAATATGGGAAGGGGGGGGGTTGACTTTGTACATGACATGTGGGGTACTATTTTAAAATGTGCTCTTTTAGGGGGTCATTCACATTGTACATGCTACTACATAAACATCATCATCACAAAAAGCCATAACCTATGAACTGTCCATCTATGTTGGTGAAAGCAAATAATATTTTAAAATGTATCTTGAACCCCACGAATGCCGTGGTACCACGCTGTCAACACCATATCACAAAGAGCTTCCTAACCTTGACATGTGTACCACTATATTATGATGAATTTTATCATAACTGATAGTTAATTATAACTGACTCTTACAGGCTAATATACCTGCTATATCAAACCAAACAGACTGACAGCCATCTACCCGGTATGTTATACCAAACAGACTGACAGCCATCTACCCGGTATGTTATACCAAACAGACTGACAGCCATCTACCCGGTATGTTATACCAAACAGATACCAAACAGACACAGCCATCTACCCGTATGTTATACCAAACAGACTGACAGCCATCTACCCGGTATGTTATACCAAACCCAAACAGACTGCCATCTACCCGTATCTACCCGTTATACCAAACAGACTGACAGCCATCTACCCGGTATGTTATACCAAACAGACTCACAGCCATCTACCCGGTATGTTATACCAAACAGACTCACAGCCATCTACCCGGTATGTTATACCAAACAGACTCACAGCCATCTACCCGGTATGTTATACCAAACAGACTGACAGCCATCTACCCATCTACCCGGTATGTTATACCAAACAGACTGTATGTTATACCAAACAGACTGAGATCTACCCCGGTATGTTATACCAAACAGACTCACAGCCATCTACCATCTACCTGGTATGTTATACCAAACAGACTCACAGCCATCTACCCGGTATATGTTATACCAAACAGACTCACAGCCATCTACCATCGGTATGTTATACCAAACAGACTCACAGCCATCTACCCGGTATGTTACCTGGTATGTTATACCAAACAGACTCACAGCCACTACCGGTATGTTATACCAAACATCTACCCGGACTATGTTATACCAAACAGACTGACAGCCATCTACCCGGTATGTTATACCAAACAGACTCACAGCCATCTACCCGGTATGTTACACCAAACAGACTCACAGCCATCTACCCGGTATGTTATACCAAACAGACTCACAGCCATCTACCCGGTATGTTATACCAAACAGACTCACAGCCATCTACCCGGTATGTTACACCAAACAGACTGACAGCCATCTACCCGGTATGTTATACCAAACAGACTATACATATTTTCCCTAGGTAACTGCTGGCTATTGATCTCTACTGAATGGGTCACATGACCTCCAGCTATTCATTATTCATCGTGTCCGATCAATTCATCGAGTCAGAAGCGGCAAGTTAGCTCAATGTTGGAATCATAAATCCCTGTCAACAAGAAGCTCCCACCCAGAGACAGTAATGACCGCTGGAATCATGATTAATAGATTAACAGATGGACAAGAAAAACAAATGGAAATATCACAATGGAATTAATCATCGGAATGAGAACACTATCAAACATAACATCAATAGTAGCTGGACTGTGACAGTGAGAAAGTGTCATTGTGATTACATTTTCTGTGAGTGAGTGAGTGAGTGAGTGAGTGAGTGAGTGAGTGAGTGAGTGAGTGAGTCCTCATTTGTAATCACTATAATATACCATCAACTGCACAAATGAATGTCTTGAAAAATATCTTACGTGTACAAAATAATGTTTCAGAGAAATTTTGTGTCACGATGCACTGACTGAGAAATCCTACACCCCAATCCTCCCTACACTATTCCCCTAAAGACAGTTTTGTATGTGTCTTGATGCACTAACTAACAGATTTCAGCTTACCCAGTCCTTTTCAACATCCCCACCCTTTCCTACAAAGACTAATGGTCTTGTTTTACCCATAAGATATACTATTCACACTTTGCAACGGATCAAATCAAGGATTCAACAGAAAACTATGATGTGGGGTCAAATTTGGTTTAAGTACCTAAGCTTATTGTAAGTATGGATCCTAGGTTTCAGTGTGTCATTTCATCTTGTGGAACCCATACCTGCTATTGACAGGTGTTCTGTACTTGTCAGTGACTCGTTCCATGATTTGCAAAATGGTAGATTGGTGCCATAAAACCACTTTTATGTTTACTCATGTATCAAGTGCATAAGGTTAGATTAATGTGACTGTTTGCCTAGAGAGGGGTTACCATGTTATTATTTATCCAGTTTTAAATTGATACAATTTCAAATTATGAATCTACGTTTAAGTAAAGCTGGGAATATTTGTGATCCTTAGCAAAGTGTGAGTAGTATATGTATGTGTCTTGATGCACTGTGAGTAGTAATAGTTATCTCAGCTTCCCAAGTCTCGTCAACATCCCCACCCTTTCCGCCAAAGACTAATGGTCCCTTATCAGTGGATTGTCTACGTGTGTCACAGATCCTACACACCTGCCGATATGCAAGTCACACCTGGCTCGCTGCCCACCACGGAATGTCCACATGACATAAGCTATGAGTAAATGGCTATAAACAGAACAAGCTTCTGGAGACCAGGCAGCATTCAATACGGAATCGATTTACATATTTGAGATATAGATCGTGGCCAATCAGTGATCAATACTTGAACTACTTGTATCAATGAGGGACATTCTTTCATAGCCTGGCAATCTGCTGACTGTTTATGTAAACATAGGGCGAGTGCATTCAAGAGTTGGTCGACATGTGTTTCTGGAAGCCGTGTACTTCCACGCAGGTTGTTCAGCTTCAGTTGTCTTTGGTATTAAGAGTGTGAGGTGGGTTTAAAGGTTTATTGGTTTAAACCACTCAAACACCATTTCAACCATAGCCATCTCACACTTTCGCTTGAATAAAAGTTCAGTTCTGCCCAGTGGTGTTGAAAGCCTTTTGTTCTCAACAGTTGGGGTGGTGGGGTAGCCCAGTGGTTCAGTGTTAGCTAGTCACACCAAAGACCGGGTTTGATTCCACACATGGGTACAATGTGTGAAGCCCTATTCCAGTGTCCCCTGCCATGATATTGCTTGAAAATTGCTAAAAGTGGCATAAAACCACACTCACTCACTCACTCACTCCCCCACAGGGTTAATATTTTCATGACAGTGATCCTGTAATCAAAACCATGAGACTTCTTTGGTTCTACTTCTGGAACCACTGATTTGAGTGATTCTCTGACTTTATAACAGTGGCAAACACCCAGTCCACATGCCCATATCATCTGTCACAAACACATGCAAAGGCTCCTCAATCCTTCACTTGAAAATACATGGAAAGTATGGTGTTACTCAAAAGGGATTGCATCAGAATTTTCATCACGTCTGAGTGAGTGAGTTTAGTTTTACTCCACACTCAGCAATATTCCAGCTATATGACAGCAGTCTATAAATATTTGAGTCTGGACCAAACAATCCAGTGATCAACACCATGAGCATCGATCTACGCAGTTGGGATACGATGACATGTGTGAACCAAGTCAGCAAGTCTGACCACCCGATCCCGTTAGTCGCCTCTTACAAGCATGGGTTGCTGAAGACCAATTCTAACCCGAACCGTCCCGGGTTTCATGTCTAACTTTTCGGTAATTTTGTGCAATGATATTTTTATATTTTTGTCTGTTCCATTTTAGGCCAATATTAAACATGGACATGTCTGGGCAATCTGACACTGACAGGGTACTAAAACATGAACACTAAATTCACTCTCAGAGTAAACTCAGACTTAGTGGTAAAAACACATATGATAACATATCTATAAATATTGAGCAACATACATATATTTAAAGATATTAATCCCATGCCCCACAGGTAGATCAACACTATATTTCCACGGTGGACGTGTGGTATTGGAGTGTCTCACATAACATCCAGGGTGTCTGCAGTATCTATATATAGCACCAGAGGTGATGACATAACTGTCATAATGCACAGGTCATAATTCCTGTATTACAGTGTGAAAGACACGATCGCGCACGGTTAAATAAGTCTGTGGTGAGTATAGGGATACTTAAGAGTCATATTTGTTCAGCAAGAGTGTATTATATGTCAAACCAGTGACAAATGGACTGCCACAAAAACAAACAAATAGAAAATAAACATGACCATATTTAATGGACAGCACATTAAATAAATCCTGTAAATTCAGAAATGGCAAAAGGCATAATTGATTTCAATGAAAAGGAAGAGGCCAACCAACTGTGGGTGGAATAATATGCTAAAGCTGAAGGATGAATATACCTATGAAAATAAATCCCTGTCGTTTGGTACACTTGAAAACCATCCAGTCCTATCTACATACTGCCATTATGCCATCAGTGAAATTGCTTCCGTTTCCATCAGCCACACAAACAGTGCACAATATTTGTTTTACAATACTCCTGAATTGATTATGACTGACTGAGTTTGGTTTTACAATTCTTTTCTTAATATTCCAGCATAACTTCAAACATGTACACCAGAAATGGGCTTCACACATTGTACCCATGTTGGGATTCGACTGAGGTCTTCAGCGTGACGAATAGCGCTTTAACCATTAGGCTACCCAGCCGCCCCGAATTGATTATGATCAA